CGGAGGCAGGGGCACCCCAGAGGAACACAAGTTGATCCACGTGATCATATTCTTAGCCTGTGCGGCGCCCCCTGCCACCATAGTCCTCGATAATATTGTAGCGGTGCTTAGGCGAAGCCCTGCGACAGTAGTACATCAAGATCGTCACCACGCCGTCGTGCTGACGGAACTCTTCCCCGACACTTTGCTGGATCGGAGTCCGGGGATCGTCATCGAGCTGAACGTGTTCTAGAACTCGGAGGTGCCATAGTTTCGGTGCTTGATCGGTCGGACCGTGGAGACGTACGACTACATCAACCAAACACTTCCGTTGTCGATCTACAAGGGTATGTAGATCACACTTTCCCCTCTCGTTGCTATGCATCACCATGATCTTGCGTGTGCGTAGGAAATTTTTTGAAATTACTACGTTCCCCAACAGAAGGAAGGAGAAAGAAGGAGGCCGGAGAAAGAGAAGGAAGGGGCCCGCCGGAGGGCTACCCCATTATCTATCTTAGGGTTTAGGGTGGAGCGGTGGTGGGGCTTCCCTGGATAAAAAAACTGGACGCGAGCAGGGCTAGAGGGATGTCTGGGGCAGCAGCAAGATTGGTGGTGGGGGCGGGGCGGCGAGGTGGTCATCGGAGTGCCGCTGGCCGCGGGCGGCGGGGACCGGCGGCTAGGCCAGTGGTAGCTGGTAGCAGGAGGAAGGGGATTGTTTACAGGAGGAAGAAGATTGGAGGAAGGTGCGGGAGGTTGAAGAAAGGTGCGGGCTGTTGATTTCGCATCCGACGGTTGAAAAAATCGACTAACCTGAAACTTTTTTTCAGCAGACTGACGTATAGCCACGCTCATACATTCTTACGAGTTTTGAGAGGTAGTCTATGCTTGTCCCTACGTCAAACTAGGCATAATTGGCTAGCTGTAGAACAAGTGTACGGTCACTTGAACTATGGTTTTCTCTAAAGAGATTAAAAAAAACTGCACACGAAACCCTGAACATTTACAGCATGCATATGGTAATGTGTGACATATGTGCAAAATTTCGAGGACCAATACATTAAAAGGATGAGAAAGAGGAGTCAAGTGACAAATTAACTTGCACCAATTTTAAAAAACGAATTGTTCTACTTGTACAACGGGTAAAATATAAGGAAATCAATTTGTACAAACTTAACCTACACAAAATAGTAGTAATACACATGTTTACATAAGTTTTTCATGATTTTTAGGCAAAATACTTTTTCAAGATACTATTATTTGTTGTCTTTTGCTCTAGCACACTGAAATTTTGTCCCTTTGCACAGCACCATTACAAAAAAATGGATACAAAAACACAACTAAATACTTGCACATCACGAATTTCACAATTAAAAGAAGAAACCCAACAGCTTGTCACATGTGAAGTGAGGCGTGTATGCATATTAGAAGCTACTCTACCATAGAAATTAGACACATGAAATCAAAACAGCTAGTACTAAAAAACTTGCAAAACAAACGTACTATATGGGAGAAGAAAATTAATTGAAGATATATACCTTTGGCCTGCCTCCCCAGAAGAGCTGCGTGGAAGGCATTTTGGCCGTCTGGTCCAGAGTAAGACAGCTCTTGGTCTCCCTCAAAGAGCTGCCTTGCAATGTCCCCGAGACCCAGCAACAGGGCCAAGTATAAGGGCGAGGCGCCGTCGGCCAGCGGAACACGCGCTAGCTGCGAGTCCGCCGACAGTAGCACGCCCACCATGTCCTTGTCTTCCAAGCGGATCGCTTCGTGCAGCACAGTCTCTCCCTTGCCGTTCTGCGCCCTCAGGTTCTCCTTCAGCCCAGTCTCATCACCATCACCGGGTCGAGCAAGACCCAAGAGATGGGTGACCATCCTACCATGCCCCAGCCGGGTGGCGCAGTGTAGCGGGGTGTCGCCGTTGCGGTTGCGGTTGCGGGCGCTGAGGAGATGCTTCGCCTTGCCGACGATCACCGTGGCGCACTCCAAGAAACGAGCATCGCCTCCACCCGCGACCACATGCAGGATGGAGTCTCCCGTAGCAGTGGCCGCGTCTGCATCTGCTGCCATGGCAGCAGCAGCAGCAGCAGCGCGTCCTGCTTGTCCGTCGACAGCATCCTCCTTCTCATTCTTGACGTGGAGGACGACTTCTTCCTCGTGCTGCTGGAGAAGGCGATTTATCTGCTCCACATCGCCTTGCCCTGCGGCCATGAGCAGCTCGTTTGACATGCTCTGCACATTGGAGGCTGGATCCATTCTTTTCTCGGTGTCAATTCAAATTAATTTTATCTCTCCTCCATCCGGCGCGTGCGTGTGCCTATATATACAAGCAGATGGAGAGATAGATGAATAAATATACTTGGGTTCCTCAAAGGGTCAAGGTATCTGTACGCTTGCATTGCATTCCATGCAGGAGAGAAGCGATTCTTCCCCAGGCTTAACGCAAAGCTGCATCCATCGGCTAGCTGTGTGAATCGGTTCGCAGCGACAGGGTGTCAAACAAAGAAAGAAAGGCAAAAGGAGGTGCTGCGGTTTGTTTTTGTGTAGTGTAAGCTTGCAGGGCTTAGTTCAACATATACTGTATAAACGTTTCGGGTCAAAGAATATTTTATGGCCTCTACTTCAAATAATAACATTATCATCATGTTACTTTGTGGTGTGGGTTGTTTTCTATATGACCATATCGTGCCATGTTATGATCACTTAACTGTCAGGTCTCTCTCTGCCTAGATATCCAAAACACCGTGGGTGTGGCGTCTCTCGTCCAAGGAAAGGCGGTTAGGGTTTCTGTCTCCCGTCGGCAGCGCCGCAGATCTCCCACGTCTAATGTGGCCTTAGGGCCATGGGTGTGTGGTGGATTCTGGCCCTTGTCGGCCAAGCACATGAATCTACAACGTATGGTAATCATTTTCTTAATTTATGTTGTCCAACTTCAACATGCCCCTCATCTGTCGTATCCACTCCTAGAAAGAGCAAGAAAAATAAGTTATCGATTCTTTGAAATAACACACCGCAAAACGAACCAAAATGAACCACCGTTGCATAATGTTCCTTTCATGACAGGCCACCATTGATGGGCACAAAGTGACCATTAGTAGAAGTGTTACCAATGACGAGCGGAAAAATGGACCATTGGTGCTTACTCAAACGCACGGTCTTATTTCAGGAGAGAAAATTACCACAAATGGGCCCATATAAAGGCCCATCGGTGATACCATCCTACACCTGACGGACTTAACCACTGACGGGCATGAATTATGGCACGTCGGTGGTATCCATTACACATCAAACAAGCTAACCTATCAGCCAGTCGGGACAGATCTAAGCCCATTTTAGCGTATAAATCTATCTCTACCCTAATACCTCTCTCCCTTCCCCTGATTACTCCACTATTTCTCCTCCATGAACCGGCAACCCCCACTCCTCTTAAGGGCCTGTTCTGATGTTCCCCTGCTTCATAGAACTCCACAAATTCAATCAACTTCTGCTCCTCGCTTCTAGCTTCAGGTAGCGATCCCAGGAGCGTTCGGCTCCATCTGCAGCTTCTCGCATAGCTGCAGCCCAGTTGGGAGGGAGGGTTGTGGCCTGTTAGGCGTACGTTGGACCGGCTGGATGCACTTTCTTCGGCCACCACCAGGGGACAGGGACGATAAGCTGGGCTGGGCCCACGTGGGTGTTTAACAAATTGGGTGAAAACGGGAACTTCATGAACGCAGCGTTATCACGTCGGGCGGTGGAAAGTGTGAGAGAGGAATAAACACCAGGAACTCTAGTGCAAGCAAAACGCTAGACATGTTGGCGCGACAAAAAATGTCAGATCAGGTTTTTCTTTCAAAACATGGTCGTATCATGCTTAAATTTTCCATTATTAAAGTTAAAACGTTTATTTAGTCCGCAGTTTGTTTGTCCGGCTTTTTATGCTGTAAAAAAGGGTGCACTGTACTAGTATTGTGATGTTGTGCAGTGCAGTGCAACGTGAGACAGGCGTACAGCTCATTTGACGCCTGTTTCGAGTGAAGCGCGCGTACCCATAGACAGACACACATGCGATCCACTGCCACTCCCTCCCAGACGAGAAAACAAAGGCCATAGCACGCGGATTCAGCGTCCCCGTGTTTATATATCCACTCCCAACGACGCGTTCCAGGCATCCACAGTACTCCTACTGCGAGTCTGCGAATCAGTGGCAGCCAGTGAGGTGGAGCAGCTAGCTCGTCGAGCGAGCCACCGCCACCTTGGACCTTGCCGGGACAATGGAGCCAGCGGCGGCGACGATGCTCCCGCGAGCACTACCCGTTCTGCTGCTGCTTGCGGCGGCCGTGACGGTGAGCGCGGAGAGGGCGCCGACGCTGGTGTTCATCCTGGCGGGGCAGTCCAACATGGGGGGCCGGGGCGGCGCCACGGTGGGCGACCGTTGGGACGGCGTGGTGCCGCCCGAGTGCGCGCCGTCCCCGCGCACGCTCCGCCTCTCCCCGTCCCTCCGCTGGGAGGAGGCCCGCGAGCCGCTGCACGCCGGCGTGGACGTCGGCAACGTGGTGGGCGTGGGCCCCGGGATGCCGTTCGCACACGCGCTGCTTCGGTCCCCGGCCTGCCCGCGCGGCGCCGTGGTGGGGCTCGTCCCCTGCGCGCAGGGCGCCACGCCCATCGTCAACTGGACCCGCGGCTCGGAAATGTACGACCGGATGGTGACCCGCGCCCGCGTCGCCGGCGCAGGGACGGGCAGGGTCGCCGCCTTGCTGTGGTTCCAGGGGGAGGCCGACGCCATGCGGCGCGAGGACGCGCTGGCCTACGCCGGGAGGATGGAGGCGTTTGTCCGGGACGTCCGCCGGGACCTTGCTATGCCCAACCTCCTCGTCATCCAGGTCCGTCGCTGCACTACATCCATGCATGGGTCCCTTGCTCCGGCTCCATTAATCTCCATTGTGAACCGTGTGAGTAAAAACATCCATGCATGATCTTGTTGTAGGTTGGGATCGCGACCACGCAGAAGCAGGGGAAGTGGCTGGACCTGGTGAGGAAGCAGCAGAGGGCGGTGCGGCTGCCGAACCTCAAATACGTGGACGCCATGGGTCTCCCCATCGCCAACGACATGACGCACCTCACCACCCAGGCACAGGTCCGGCTCGGCAAGATGCTTGCCGACGCGTACATCGCCACGCTCTGATGACTACTAGTAGGCGTTCGCTGGAATTCTATCATTGATTCCATGGAAGAGTTGATTTGGTGATGATTAGCTGTGGAGAACACCTGAATAAATCAGCTATGTACTACTCCTGAGTATGTAGGATATACTTCATGCGCATTATTGCCACATTGTTATGCGCATTGTAGGAAATGAAAAAATCTCATCGCCAGTACGATATTGCCGTTATGGGGAAGGAAAATTCTTCGCTTTGTTAAGTTTATAACTGCTTGGAAAGAAGACTTGTTGTTACAGAAACACTTCCCGTCAACTGGAACGGTTTGGGCCCAGTACCGTTAGCCGAGAACTACACTCAAAGTTTCTGCCGAGTGGGAAATGGCTTTCGTGGAGTTTTTCTGGTACTCAGGAAACTCGGAAATTCCAGTAGGGTGTGCTGCAAAGCACTGAACGCAACATGAGGCTTGTTTTTTTAAAAGGGGGGTGAAGCGGCATGAGGCTTGTTGCAAAGGCTTATCGAGCAAATCGGTCAAAACAGAAATAATTCAGGCGTTGCGACAAGGCTCATGTTGCAAAGCGCTGAGCGCACCATGAGACTTATTGCAAGGGCTTATCAAGCAGACGGGATGGCTATCACGTAGAAACAAAAAAACAAAAAATAATAATGTTCGGGGATTGCAAAGCACAACACAAGACTTGTTGCGAAGACTTGGCGAGCAAATCGGATGGTTGTAGGGCAGAAAAAAAAAAGAAGAAAAAACTGTTCAGAGATTGCAATAAGACTTATCGTTCAAAGCGCCAAGTGCAATATGATCCTTGTTGCAAAGGCTTAGAGGCGCACCACGTCCAAAAAAAGGCTTAGAGGTTCACGTGAAGGGGTCAGACGGTTGTCCATGACTCCATCGAGTGGCAGCCGAGGTGGTCGGTCTTTTAGGATTATCATCTGGTCAACACCTAGGATGGCCCTTGTTATACAATGGACGGATTATCTAAAAATAACATGCTATTATTACTATTTTTGCATGGAAATTGAGAGCTTGATTCAACACAAAGTGGTCCTGTCAGCTAAAATAACATGCTATTATAAAGGTCGCCCATCCGTGCTTTCAGGCCTAATTGTCTTTTCCCAGCACTGGTACTATTTTATTCCCGTGTTATCCAGGCAATCCCATGTTCCTCTCCATCAGATGCATTAAGTTGATCTCGCAGGAATCTCGGAGCAAGAAGGTTTTTTTGTTTTGTTTTGAGAAAGTCGGAGCAGGAAGTTGGGCAAGCAACATTTTGTAGCAGTGTGTTTCGGAACGCCAACACTATTATATAGCTGTGCTACAATGGCTTTCAGAATGATAGGATCTCTGACATTAGATACACGATGGGATGAATCATGAGTGTGTTTCCTAAGTGACATGCCCAGACTTCACGGACGAAATTCCGCATGAAAACATGTGGCCGGTCAAAATGACCCAAGCACAAATGTACTTAAATTGCAGAAAAAATGTGTCTTGTCTTCGTCACATGAAAAATAGGGCACTTCTTTTGCCTTGGCATGTACTTGGCGAAGACTGCGTCGTTGAGCTGGAACGCCTTGGTGAAGAAGGACAGCCGGCAGAGGTAGGTAGGGAGAATGCTGCTTGCGGTGGAGGCCCCCATGACGATACCCTGCTGCTGCAAGCACCTCTCTTCCCCGCGCGCCTCAAACCGCTGCTGCTCGGTTGCCATGGCCATGGCAACTAGTCCCCTACGACGATCATGCTGTCTACGTCGACAATCATCAGATGCTACTACGGGCGATGACCAGTGCTGCAACCGCAGCCCTCACGTGCTTCAACAGCCATAGACCATGGTGATCACGAGCTGCGACGGCGGAACACGGGGCCACCGCGCGTGCTATCGTTGCTGGAATTGACCACCGCGGAGATTTGTGTGGTTATTCGTGTGGGTATTGCACATTTAAGTACTGGATTGAGATCCAGTGACATGCCATGGGCATGTCACCCATGAACAGTATGGTGCCTTGCCCCCCTCTCCCCTCCGTCAGATCATGATCTAGCAGCCAGGGGCGACATGAATAGTACCCAATCTACAGTACATGTACAGTACAATATCTACAGTGATTCGTCTACAGGACCACGTCCACAGTGTTTTGCTGCTACAGTGATCGATCTGGGCTGTCCATTCCAGATCCAAGGGCCATGTTACGGTGTGACATGCTGAAGGCATGTCATTGGATCTTTGTCCCTAAGTCCTATGTCATTGATGTTACGTGAAGATTCGTATGGGTATTTTTTTTCTTTTCCTTTCATTTTTATGCTTGATTGTGGATGTGCCCTAGAACACTGCTTTGAAAGAGTTGGAACTTCTTATTTCTAACTTGCAATTATAGAACTAATTTTTTCTAATTAATTTCTTGTTTAAATTTTGAAAATTATTTTAATACAATAAAAAATCCAAAAGGGTTTCTACTTAATGATGAAATTAAAATGGATAAACAGAAACATGGGGGGTTCCCTCTGTGTGTGCTGACCAATGTAGAGAAAAAAGACGATTCGGAAAAAGCATCCAATGGTCCGGCTTGGTTCAATCTGATGACGGCTGAGACCGGACAGGAGCTCACGCGCTACCAGGTACTTGTATTTTCCTAGTTTAATGTGTGTCCCGCGTAGAGTACTTCTATAATGCATGTTGATCGGTAGCTGAACTTATTCTAAAAAATATTAAGTCTGTCAGCTGAAACATCTCTCAATTGGTTCCTGTTATGTACTTGTATTTCAATTAGGCGTCAGTAACCACTAGCCGGAAGCTCAAACCAAGGTGGTATAGCAGGCAGTACATGTTTCTATTTTAATGTGCGTGAACTTGTAGAGACATGGCTGGAACTTTCCCTAGTATTCCCTCTATTTCATAATATAAAAATGTTCTTATATTACGGGACTTGTAGCTTGAAAAATGTTCTTATATTAGGGGATGGAGAGAGTACTAACGAACAAGTGTGTTAGTTCAGTTATCACTCTCAATTGCTCTTATCAGATATTTGCTGAATTGGACGTTAGTATCCACTTACGAGATGCTCAACTGCATTATTGCAGTGTTTTATTCTGAAAGGGAACGGAAGAATTTGTACCCAAGCATAGTGACGGGTCTAGTGGGAGTGTCGTGCTTACATACATGGCATTTCTAGCTCTCTTTTTTTTTATGGGAGATAAATGGTGTTTCTGTCGTGAGAGTGATAAGGTTGGCACCCCATGTGGTCAAGCTTTAGGTCCGCCACTGCCCAAAGCATACATGGAAGCATGACCTAGTCTTTGCTCACGCACATAAACAACTTTAAGGCCACGCCTACAGCTTCTAAATCAACTATTGTTTTTGCTAACAATGAAACATATTACGGTCCGGGATCAAGAAATAGCAAGCAATCGGTATCTACAAAAGTCCATTCAAAACGCTGCATTGCCTGCGACGTTACAAGCAATCCCATCGCCTTTGGTACTTACTCTCTCCGTACTTGAAAAAGTGTACTTTCAACTTTATTGAAGAGTCAAACTATTTTAAAATTTGATCGAGTTTGTGCAAAAATATATCAATGTTTGTGAAATCAAATAGGTATATGATGAAAATATATTATATCATAAATCGAATGCTACTAATTTGACGGCATAAATATTGGTGTATTATTGTATAAATACAATCAAATATAAAAAGTTTGACTTTTCAAAAAAAATTAAAAGTACACTATTTGAAGGACAAAGGGAGTAAGCAGAATTACTACTCAGCCGCACGTTGACTGGTGGAGTAAATGTTTTCTTTACCGGATAGTAACACATCATTGATTAGTGAGTCAAGATTATTCAACGATGTCACCTTGGATCTAATAGCCACCTCCCTCCACTCTGCTGCTCTCTTCTTCATCTCCCTACCCTTCTCCCCGCCCACCGCCTCCTTGATCCTCTCGTTGACCACCTCCCGCCGCACGTCGTCGCCGATCTCCATGCCCACCCCCCACTCGAGGCACTTGTACCGGCAGTTGGTCTGCTGCTCGGCGAAGAACGGCCAACACAACATCGGCACGCCACCGCAGAGGCCCTCGACCGTCGAGTTCCATCCGCAGTGCGTCAGGAACACACAGACGGCATCGTGCCTCAGCACCACCTCTTGGTCGCACCAGCTCGCCACGAGGCCTCTGTCTTTGGTGGCCTCCAAGAACTCAGGGGGTAGCGCGGCAGCCTCGCTCTTCACGATGTCCGGCCTGATGATCCAGAGGAAGTCCTGGCCGCTGTTGGCCAGCCCCCACGCGAACTCTACCAGCTCGTGATTGCTCATCACGGTTACACTCCCGAAGTTCATGTACACCACGGAACGGGGCTTCCTGCCGTCGAGCCACTGCAGGCAGGTGTGGTCTTCTTTCCAGAGGCTGGAGCTTACCTTGTGCAGGGGGTCCATGAAGGGGACGATTTGGTCGGTGAGGGAGTTGAGCGGACCGATGGTGTAGATTGCCGGTATGATGGCGCGCATCGCGTCGAGCGCCGGTTGCTCGAGCTCGTCCATGGTGTTGATGATGACGGCGTCCGCTATCTCGGTGCGCTCCACATGGTGTAGCTTGAAGTTCAGCGCAGTGTCGTCGCGGTCCGTCGTGCGGAGAATGGTTGGGAAGTCTTTCAACCGCATGTGCTTGCTCATCCCTGGCGCCCAGTCCACCGGCATGTCCATGAACCCGTTTGTCAGTTGCTCTTCATCTACAAAAAAAGAAAGAGAAAGAGAAGTTATTGAGACTCATGATTGAGACAGTCAAATTTGCAGTGCAGGGATAGCTAGGAGGATACCTTTGAGGGGAATGATGCCCTGGTCGATGAGAAGGCGGAAGTTGCGGTAGCCCATGTAGCCGCAGGCGCTGGCCGTCCAGAGCAGCACGGCCGGCACGCCGAGCTCCCTCGCGGCGTCCACGGCGAAACTCATGAGGTTGTCTGCCACGATGCACGTGACCGGCGGCATCCCGGATGTGCTGTTGAGGCCAGCAAGTAGGTTCCTCAAGTGGGGGAGGCAGGTGGTCATGGTGGAGTAGGCGAGGGACGCCGGGTCCTGCGTGGCGTCCGCTTGTGACGAGGGCAGGCCGTCCGGGATGGTGGCGAAGGCGAAGCCGGGGAGGCCCGCGGCGGCGCTCGGGCCGCGGGAGCGGATGAGGCGGCGGTGGTTGTACTCGGTGGCGACAAAGGTGATGTGGAAGCCCTTGCAGTGGAGGAGCTTGGCCAGCTTCATCATCGGCGTGATGTGTCCCTGGGTCGGGAACGGCAGGCACACGGCATGCGGCTTCTCGCCGGCTGGTCCAGCGGTGTCCATGGCTCACCGGCAGGCTCCAATGGTTCGTGGATTGGATCTGAATCTCAACTAGCAGGCCAAGACTAGAGAGGCAGGAGAGACAGCTTATATGCACGGACGCCATTCCGTTTGGCTTGGGAATCTATTGGGTGGTTCGCTAGCTGTCTACATGTGTTCTCAGCCACCCAATAGATAGGATGCTTATATGCATGTGTTCTCCGCCACGAGAGCATGTTCGTGCCGCCGTGTGCCGTTCAGTTCATCAGTTCTTTTAAACATCCTATCTGTTCATCTTCCATCATGGAGTACAACGAATACCAGAAATAATAAAAACTGTATCTATATTCACAGGCCACCTAGCAACGACTACCAGCACTGAAGCGAGTCGAAGGCACGCCGACGTCATTGTCGCTCTCTGACCGGAGTCAGACAAAACTTATTATAGTAGACAGTCGAGAAGTCATCGTGTTAAGACCATATAAGACCAGCGCACCGGAACAACAACCACACGAAGAGTGGTGTAGATCGGAAGGATCCAACATGAAGACACATGAACATAGACGAACGACGAACAGATCCGAGCAAATCCACCAAAAACAGATCCGCTTGAGACATACCTCCACACGCCCACCGACAATGCTAGACGCACCACCGGAGTGGGGGCTAGGCGAGGAGAAACTTATTCCATCTTCAAGGAGCCACCACCGTCTCGCCTTTCTGAGTAGGACACAAACCTTAACAAATCTCGAAGAGACATTTAAAAATGGAGCACAACCACCAGCAAGGGGCAGGATCCACCGCACCTTCATGGCCCTAAGGCCGCCAGAGATGAGACGGAACCGACGGCACCGACGACGGAAGACAGAAAAACCCTAATTGGGGAGGAGGCAGCTGGGTGAAGAGAGTGTTCCCGACTCACGTCAGTTCACCGAATGTATTTTGTTTGTGGGCACTCAGCATCTACAAAAGATTACTTAATTTTTTTACAAACAAGTTCATGTGGAGAATTATGGTAGGTAATAGAGAGTGAAGGGGCTGACCCAGTTGAATTCAAGGCAGAAGTGAATTATAGTTGAAAAGGTTAAGTAAATGTTTGTAGATTTTCCCTAGGTCTAGCATTATTCGACAAAAAAACATTCGATAAAAGTGAAATAGGAACACTGATGCATCCAAGTCCAATATGTAAGGACATCCATCTCTTAAATTTAGACCCTCGAGAGCGTCCTTATACATTAACTCTTATATTTGAGAAGTTAAAAAAAAGTTTCCCAGCCAAACTCTTAAATTTAACTCCTCATAAAAATTCACAAATTCGGTTCAAACAAAGTTTGAAAGTAGTCCATTCATACAGACATTCGATTCAAACTTCATATTGGATGACATGAAATTTAAACTACATTGCATAAGCTACTCAATTTGAAGAAACTAAAAAGAAAAAAGAAACCTAATCATCCTCCTTAATGAGCGTCCCGCAATCCATGATGTTGTCGTAGTCATTGCTGGACTCGGAGCCACTGTCCACCGGGCAACCCAACCTCGTCGGTAGCGCCACTGCACGACCAGACTCGTCCTTAACCCCCTTCTTGTACATCTCAAGCCGCCAACGCTCCTTGGCGATGAGCTTCGAATGCATCCGGCGGAGCTCAGCCATGTACTCTTCATCAGCGTGCGCCATCTCGAGACGCTTAAAGGCCTCCCGATTCTCCTGCAACTTGCGGTGGCAGACTGTCGGGCGTAGACGTCAATGGCCGCCAAACGTCGCCGCTTGATAACCCACGTGTAGGGAATTTATCGTGGACTTTTTAATAAGTAGGATTGTCGAATCTAACAAGGAGTAGACTGAATCCATTGATGGAAACTAGCAAGAGTTGACTGCTGCAAAGAGTGTATGATGGTTTGTTTGAAAGCAAAAGTAATTGCAGGAACACATGAAGTAACAAAAGTGCAACGGTGCAGCAAGTAGTGGACAAATTCTTAATTGCTATGGGCAAGCTGGTTGTTTTACCTATAAGGATCAAGGCGTTCTCGAGGACACAAGGGAGTTTCAGCAAGTTTCATTGAGTTATCGTTCATTGCTTTGATAATTTTTGCGCAGTGGAACCTATAATAATGTGTTGTTGTTACTTTCACAAACAACTTGTTTATGATTATACCCTCTACGCAAGCAGCCACAAATACTCCTCCGGTCATTTTTACTCTACATATAAGATTTGTCTTAGTCAAACTTTGTAAATAGGAGCAGCCGGCGTGCAGACAGAGAGTAGAGATGGACACATGGTGGTTTTTGGTTCGTCCTATGGATGTCTAGACACCCGTAAAACACCGGTAGGTTTGCTTCTGGTTTGCGAGGAAATGCACAAGCGGATGCGTTCACGGACAGCTTGGGGTGTCTGTGGACTATTTGAGGGTCCGTGTTGAAGATGCCCTTAGCATCATAATTAAGATGATGATAGAAAGAAATCAAGCTCTAAGACTTGTACAAGGAATTAGAGATATACATGATGGAGATAGCTCCAGTGGACAAAAATGAAGATGAGAAGACAACGAAGAGAGTAATAATTACTGAAACAAAAACACTTGCGAAACAGCATCGATGGTCAATCGAGGTATGCAGGAATATATATATAGTCGCCATGGATGCATGGCCGGATGGGATGGATCTACCAGAAGTTGTTTGATCCCTGGTAGCAGAGTCCGGGGCTCCACCAGGCGGGGATGGCGTCGCCGACGATGATGGTCTTGCCGTCGGTGCCGCCGGTGATCCTGACTTCGAGCCCCACGGACTTGTCGAGCGCGGCGAAGGCCTGGTACGTGCTCCCCCAGTTCTGCGTCATCTGGACCCACTGCCCGCCCTTCTCCCTGACGGCCATCTCGGCGACGTCCCCGCCGCCGCCGACGTTGTTGACGTGGAGCAGCAGCCAGTATGGGTTCCCCGTGAGGCAGAACTGGACGCCGCCCCTCCTCTCGCACGGCACGCGGCGGAACTGGACGGGCACGATGCCGGCCACCCGGGCGGCGAGCTTGTAGAAGGACGGGGGCGCCATGTCGAAGTGCCTCCGCGGCGGGTTGCACCAGCCGCCGTCGTTGCTGTCCTGGTACCAGTTGGGCGGGCAGAGGTTGGTGCCGGTGATGACGACGGAGGGCGACCCCGGCACGCACCACTTGGACTGCACGCACCGGATCTCGTAGCACCGCCCGCACCCGGCGCCGTCCGCGAACAGCGGCGTGCTCAGCGCCGCCGTCCTCGTCGAGTAGAGCGACGCGATGTCGCTGCCGCTGTACCCGCATGCGCCGCCTGCACAATGCATATGAGGATGTCAGAATCACGATTTTGAATCGGATCGAAGGTCTGATGGCATGATCATAAATCGTAGAATCTTAACTATTAGGATCATAGAAAACATAAATTTTATGAGCTAAAATCGTAGAATCATATGCGTTAGTTTGGATGATAATGTCGTACAATCGTACAACAAAATCACGATTATGGACTTAGTTAGCTATACGGTGTGCATGGTCCACGCGGGTGTGCTATGCACGTACCGAAGTCGTGGCCGAGGCCGCTTTCGGAACCGTAGAAGGTGGCGTGGGCGTTCTCCCAGCCGTACGTCGGGAAGCCGGTGGAGGGCACGCTCGGGCTCGGGGTCGACGGCGCCGGCCAGTACTGGTTAGGGAAGCCGGCGCTCGCCAGCTGGGCCGCCGCAGCCGCCATCAGCACCACCGCGACGATCGCTGGAGTCCTCGCCATGTTCGTCGAAGGTGGGTGTTGCTCGTAGATCGATGTCGTACGCCGGAGTTGATGACCGTACGTCGCAGGAGAATGCGAGTTTATAGTAGGGCAGAACACAAAGTTGGTTGGCGCCACGTTCATGAGCCTGCCTGAACGAGTTGGGCGCACGATTTGTTCAGTTTCTTTTCTCCTGGCCGGCCGACAGAATTTCGTTCATTCATTCATGGGCGCACGTCTGTGGTGGTTTTTGTTCCACCGCTCATGGGCCGGAAGAAGCCCAGTGGCAGGTGCAGCCCCACGAACCTGGGCTTCGGCGTTTATATAAAAAAGAATCTCATAAACACTTAAATGTTTGACTACATCTAAGAAAAACTTGAAGAGTTGACTTTGTGCCAAAATAAGAATATTTATAATTTTCTGCCATACAAAAGACTACTTCCATTTTCTGAAACAATTCGACCTTCTGACTTGGGCATGATGTACACTAGAACATTTTCCAAAGAAGACTTTCTATTTTCCAAAAGGATATTTCTTTTTTTAGTCGGAGTTGATATGCTCCCACATTATGTTGTAGTCTTCACCTCTTCTTTGTTTTTTTTTCTATGAAAGGCTGACTCATTCTCTTTTTCTTTTGTAGGTGTAAAGGCTGACTCATTCTCTTTTTTTTTTGTAGGTGTAAAGGCTGACTCATTCATTCCACGAACAAGGTCATGGCTAACATGCCAACACATCAAATAAGCCCAACAATGAGCGATCTCACTCTATCTAGCCAACATACAAGACACCTCACTAGCACCACAGCTTACACGAACTAAAAGTAATAAACAGACCTAAAGCAGCATGGGAAATATAGTATTACACCGCAATGTTTTACTTTTCCCATGACAGTTCATGCAACATTGTCTCTGGAGTACACCCCAAAGGCGATCCACATCATAAACATATGATGCAGTTACAGTACCGTTTCTGCGTCACTCGGATCATCAGATGCAAGTGCAAGCACAAAGCTTCAGGCACACATAAGTTACAGCAACCTCCCAGCCCAGGCGACAGCAAAGCAACACAAAACCCCACTCACTCAGAGCCCAGGGCCGCCGCCCCTGTCGAGGCCGTAGTCGGTCATGCCCACGCCGGCCTCGTTCTGGTGCTTGATGAACCCGCCGTCCGCCGCCTTCGAGTAGCTCCAGTAGTACACCAGGGAGGCCACAAGGTTGATGAGCATCATGGCGGCAGCCGCCGCAAACACCCCCTTGCGGAGCGCGGCGCAGCTGACCAGGTCATGCTTTGTGTAGTAGCCAAGGTACTTGGTGTGGTACGCGTTCTTCGCTGATCCTCCGACGAGGCAGGCCTCCGCGACGAGGAACGTCAGCCTGGGAAGAGGTATGAACATGACATTGTCAGAATGATAATGATGATCATGATCAAACAGCACTTCTCATATGGCAAAACTTTAGTATGTTTTAATGGACACCCTTTTATGCACAGCAGTCCTGGGTATCGAGTCTAAGTAAGCAATTATTACTGAGAACGGAACAATGTCGCTGAAATAATCTGCAACAGGAAAAGATTTGGAGAAGTCGACTATAACTTCTTGTCCAAATCTTTTTCCTGCTATTATGAGGTTCTCAAATAATAATCTATAGTGCTCCTAATTGCTTCTACTCTGCATCTAATGAGATTGTCACATTGCTTGTATTTTTCAAGTCCTAATAAGATACGAGTCACTTTTCTCCACACCATATACATTTCCAGACAATGGTATTTCATAAATTACATAAGCCATAACATTCCCAAGACAACAAAAATTCCTAAATTACTTAATTGCTTTGCTCAGATTACATTTTTTTTTGCTCAGATTAAATTACTTACTCATGGTTTCAGAACAATTAAGTATAGACTTCTGAATTGGGTTTATTAGGAAATAGAGGTAGACTGTAACAGAGGGTAAGAGAACCATTGATTCCATAATAACCAATAAATAAAATTTTAAAAAATGTCAACTTAAAAGAGCAAACTTGAGGTAATGGTAATGTTATGAAAATAAGTGCTGAAGAATAGGAAAGCTCAAAAGACGGTATTTGATGCCAACCAAGATCGGTTGGGAAAATCATAAGAGAAAATGCAGATGTGCAAGAATCTAAGAGTTATTGACCGTTATGATTAATCAGCCTTCATTCTAGAGTACAGAAGTATGTTCCACTATAAAACAAGGAAAGACACTCCATTAAATACCCTCAATGAAAATGTGTACATTAAGAAGATCAAGCTTGAAGCCCCTGAAGTATCCTAGCTAGGACTTACAGAGATATAATCATGATGGAACAGAACCTTGACGATATGCTAGCTAGAATTACAAGAAAACATTAAAACAAGACATGAAAAGAAATACATAAAGCAATGTTTAGCTAGTTAAAAGATTTTCTTAGAAAAGCTTATACATTTTACTGTTTAGAAATAAACTTATGGACTTTACATACAATAGTTCTGACAGCATTACCGGACACTACACCTTAGAATGTAGGCTCCACACTAAATATTGCTTTCAAGAATCAAAACATCCCAAATAAAAAAAAGAATCAAAACACCCACAAAAAACTTTCTATTTGTGCTCCGACCATGGAACAAGCGCACTGTCAAATTGGTTCTGCAGCTTAAAGATACAAGCCATACATGCCACGCATGTGGCGCCATTGGTTTACCTTTTTATTGTAGTTGAAATGGTACTCCAGAAACTTTTTGAGCAGTGCGTCCAACTTTTGTTTTTTATATCTTTACAGAACCTGGTCTTATCTCACCTAGAGAGAGCACGCGTACACGCTTATATGCACGCCAGAAGACCTTAGAAACATCTCGTGTCGAAAAAGACAACTTTTCAAGTACTGGATAAGTAATACAATTAATAGTTCTAGTAATACAATTAGAACTAAATGTTTTTCCAGGTAATCCATGGCTCTTAACTTTTCTTTAGAAATGCGGCATTGCCAAAAAGGACTATATATTTTTTTTGCTAGAAAAGAACTAAATGTCTAAATGTCCACATCTTTTTTAGGCTAAAATGTTCACATCTTTGTTTATTGCTGTGGCTGTGTCGGCCAATGTACTATTTGAGGGAGGAGGTTGAGTAACTGCATACACGCATTAGCGCATTAGTGAAGCCTTATCTGCTTTTGTGAGAAGCGCTGACCCCTGATGGGGGCATAGAGATAGAGATGAAATTATTGTGACATGACGACGTTGATAGTCATCGTCCAGCGATGGTGTGTGCAAGGGTACAAACATGGAAAGCCGTTTTGTCTTTGGCGCAGAGAGCATGTGGCAGGCGGCAGCACGCGCATTGCTCATGGTTTTACATGATTGTTCTAGAGAAGCCTGTAGCAATAGCATGGCCCACACTATGACGGCAAGGCTAAAGTGCGGGTAGCAAATTTGTGCTGTTATGGATGGATATCTAGAGTATGAATTAACCCATTGAGATGCCTTTGACAGCAAACTAGTTCTAGGAAAACAATTCTTATGATCCAACAGAATTAGGTATAAATAAAATAAATTGCTCTTTTGAACTACAGAACTTGAAATTACAGGGTTAGGCACAACCAGGCACCAACATTCACACAACCACACCAATTCAACATACCTCCTAAAAGAAATTGAATATACACTTGCAGAAAAGTGTGAGTTTCATCCATCCCACTAGGAATGGAGTGGATTGGTCTGAGTACTCTGTTTTTCATTCAAGTGTAAAGGGAAATATTGTCCAACCTGAAGAATCTGCAGGATTGCAGGGCCACAACGTGCAGGAGTGTAAGTTGGATAAAATTTTCCTATAATCGGCTGGCTGAGTAACCTTGCCTAAGCTGGAGGTTTTGTCAGAGGGTAATCCAACTGAAGTGTGTAATAAAATGTTGTCTTGTGTACTAGTAAAATGTTGTCGAGATACCCACAAATTACAACTAACCAACACAAATTATGTTGGTACTTGAATCCAATTCAGTGTATCACAGTTGGTGTGCCTCAGTCCCAAATCTTTAAGAGACCAGGGCCCGGGCAGATTAAGTAAAAAAAAACAGATTTTCAGTATGCAACTACCAAGCTTGATACGCAGAAGGGTACAGGCAGCGAATGATTTCACTTTCAGTGGGCGTATTATCACGGTGCATTCTAAAATTTCAGCGCCCACAAGAAAAACAATTTTATACTCCCAAGTCGTAGCAGTTCTGAAGTAAGAGAAGCAGATCTCCGTACACCCAACAAACAGAGCACGAATCGAGCCGAATCTAGGGTTGAGCGAGGCGCACCAGGAGACGGCGAAGGCGGCGACGGCGCATCCGCGGGAGGAGAGGGCCGGGCCGAAGCAGAGGCAGCGGGTGACGCCGGTGACCAGCAGCTGCGCCAGGAGGAGCACGAAGAAGGCGCAGACGCCGTAGACGGTGGAGGCGTCCGTGTCGTAGAGGCAGTAGGAGCGCTCGTCGTACTCGTCCGGCACCACCTTGCCCTGCGAGGAAGAAGGACATCAGCCCCGGCGCAGGCGGGGGGCAAGGGAAGGAGGAGGGGTGGTCGGGGAGGTGGGGCGTACGGTGCTGCGTCGCTGCTCGGCGCCGACGGCGAGGAGGAAGGCGAAGACGTTGAGGAAGATGAGGAAGCCGCACAGCGCGAGGGAGGCCGGCCGCGAGGTGGCGAACCCGGCCATCGGCGTCGAGTCTCGACCAGCTCCGGCTCCGGCGGCGGCTGCTTCTTGCTCACTGAGCTCGGTGTGGGGAGACGCTAGTGGGAGTGGGGAGTGGGAGTGGGAGTGGGTGCGTGGGGCCCATGAGTCGGGGACTGGATATTAATGCGGGTTTCATTTTTCCTTTCTGGAAAGGGCCGTAGGTCGAGTCTCGGCAAGCTTGACAAGCCCGTTCGGTCGGCTCATTTTTATCTTGACCCCATTTCTTGATGAACCAAGCCAATTTTAAATTTCAACTTCAACTCTTATGAACAGCTTGTTAAACTCATTAATATTCTCAATTGGCTATAGCTTTACTTCAGTTATTCACAATCAACCAGCCGCCTCCGCAACCTTAGTGTGCGATTTTCTTAATGTTCTGTTATTTGTACCTTTAACGAGCACTCCCGATGAGTTTACAATGAACTGAGCACTAACCAAGACAGTGCCGATTTTCTGCTGAAAATGCATCCAGCCCTCGGGTCGCTCCCTCCCCGGGGAGACACGGGCGGCGGCGCGGTCCCCTTCCACCGCTGCCCCTCTTCGCTCCCCTCCCCTCGCCAGCTGAAAATTTTACTTACAAGATCCAGTCTTATGTGTTTAAGTGTTTCGCTGTGCGGTGGGAGGCGATTAGGCGAGTTGTGACGTGAGGTCGGCGCATGTTGTGTTATTTTTACCTTTAACAAGGGCTTACGAGCTTATACTGAACTAAGCCCGACCATTAAATCTTAGCTCGTTATACAGCTAACCGGCTTAACAAGCCAAGCCTTAATGATCACGATCCCTAACGAGCTGAACCTAAATAAGCCGAGCAGGTTCATTATCCACACTTGCTGATGCTAGACTCTAAGGGGCATGTTCTTTTTTACTTGCAGATTTTGTGGAATCGGATTCTGGGAATTTTTCCAGCAATTACGGGGCTCTTTGCATTGAAGGATTTTCATAGGAATATTTGAGGATTCTAATCCATTGGATTTTATCCTAAGGAAGCCCTTTGGATCAAAGGAACAACACCTCCAAAATTCCTATGGATTGCATTCCTACACCTCAATCCTATAAGAATTTGAACACCCACTCTAACCTCTTTTTTACACTCATTTGCATAGGATCGAGGCATTTTTCCCGTGTTCCACCAAATGACCATTCTTGCAGTTTTCCTCTGTTTTGCACATGCAATCCCGTCAAATTCCTGTGTTTTTTGAATTCCCGTGTTTTCTAATCCCGTGATCCAAAGAAGCCACCTGTGTGCAAAATCCTTAGGAATCAGTAGTCTAGTTTGTTCCATGTATTGCAATATGATATTCTCAGTCAGGATTATCCATTAAAATGTAGTAATGCCCCTGGATGTAATTGTTGTGATTTTTAACTTATGTATTGATGTTTTGTAGGTGATGTTCGTGATAGTGTAGATATGAAAATAAAGACTTAAATATTACATGATCGTGTTTCTTTCATACTGTACATAGCTATCATTGTACATAGCTGCTTGTTAATGGGCATTGAATTGAAATCTACAACAATACTGAAAGTCTGTTGAATTGGAATCTATGCAAATGTTGGACATATGTTGAATTGAACTACATAAAACTGACTGTGCCCAGAGTGAGGACCTGGCATCTACCAGACAGGGGGCGTTGGGCACAAGGTCATCAGTCTCGATCTTGACCAGTTCGGCTCCGGCTATAGATTGTTCTCACTAAGCTCTGTGTAGCAAGACACCGAGGGAGTTGTAGCGGGAGTGATATTGTGGGGATTAGGTGGGAGGGTGGGGAGGGAGGATAGGAGTCAGTGATTGGATATAAATGCACAATGTTTTTCCTTTTTCAATTTTAGAAAGGAACCACGATTTCTCCATCGGTATGAAGCCCCACGAGTTTTAAGCCTTAGTTTGTAGTAGCTGAACTGGGCTGTCCTAGGAAAAAGTGGGCGGGCAAACGAGACTATGAGAATCTACAGTAATGCCAATGTAGCCTAATACCAACAACACTTGGTTTGTCGTGTTGCTATTCGATGGGAGAGTAGGAGAAAAGACTGTCACCACCGCTCAAGGCCACCACCGTCGCCACCCGCAACCAACGTCACTTCGCACCTCCTCGCTACCCCTGTCTTATCCCAAGATCCCCAACCACTTTCTTCATGGTTCTGTCGCTGCCCCACAACCTTTCAGGCTCAAGAGAAATGCTTCTTCTCCGATGATGGCATGCACCCCCCTTCTTAACCCTAAGTCGAGCCAAGAGGAACCTCGTGTTTGCTTGCCTTCCGCATCACATGCAAGTATAAGTATTGGATTATATAGTTTTAGGACTAAAGTGGAATTTTGATTTGTCACTGCATTGTATGCGCCAATACACTTTCTTTTGGATTCAGCGTGTTCTACACGCCTAGCACAACACTCGAAGCTAGCAGTTTTTTCTATATTCAAAAGAAAAGTGTGGGCGTAGAAGGGATTCACGATGCGACGCCTGCAAGTTTTTGTTAGTGAGTCAGAGCCCAGTAGCAGAGCCCCAGGCTATTATTTTTCCTGTGTCATTTTTGTTTCCTTTTCTGTTTTGCCATTTTTTTCCTTAGTTGTTATCTATTTTATTTTTATATTTTCCCTTTCTTTCATTTTGTTAATTTTTTAACTGTTTCGATTGCAATATTCTTTTTTCTAAATATGTGAATATTTTTTAAAAGCATGAATAAAATTAAGAGGACACGAGTAACCTTTTTAAAACATATGGACTTTTTCATTAAATGATTTTTTTCACATGTACACATATTTTATAAATATGCGATGAACACTTTTTACAAATGCATGAAAATGTATACCTGTACACATGGACATTTTTGTGAGGGAACTGAATATTTTTGTTTATATAATTTTTTCCCTATGATTTAAGTTTGTTTTCAAAATATTTAAATGTATATTAGGATAACTTTTCGATTTTTAGAAAACTCAGTAAAGAAGAATGATTTAACGGGCCACATCTTGAGTTGCCGGCACATTACGGGTTGCCTTTAACCTGTCGGTTGTCGCTTAAGTCGGTGTATATATAGCGCAAAATTCTATTTAGGGCTTGTGGCACGCCGAAGCTATAATTCGCTTGACACGAGATGGTAGCTCCCCTCAACCGCAGCGCCGTGCATATGGGCCGACACATTCGGGATCACTTCTAGGTCATTGTAGGTCCGGTTTCAGTGGGTTCTCTTCTTTTTCTGTACAACGGTTGGAGTGGTCCCCTTTTTGTGGTTTTCTTTCATTATTTATTTCTCTCTTTGTTTGCTTTACGGTTTTCACCAGTTTTCCTTGGTTTTCACTGTATTTGACTATTCTGTATCGCTTTTGCTAGTTTTTCTTTCTTTCTTTTGGTTTTTGTTTTTCTTTTTTTCTTTCTTTCTCCTTTTTTCTTTGGTTTTTGGTTTCTTTCTTTTTGCTGTGTTCCTTCTTTACATTTTCATCAGTTTTCTTTGGTTTCACTATATTACATTGTTTCCCATTGTTTTCCTTTTTTTCCTTTCTTATCTGTTTTTATTTTTATTTTATCATTCTTTCTTCGTTTTTTTTGTTTCCTAATCTTTTTTTCCAACATATGCTAATATTTTTTGTAAACGCCAATAATTTTTTTAATACATGTTTAATATAGTTCAAATACTCGAACAACGTCGTTTAAATGTATGTTATGATTTCTACTTTTTCTATATACATTATCAATTTTTCGTATATAGTAAAAACATTTTTTTATACATGTTCATTATCTTTCAAATACACGATTATCTTTTTTTCAGAAAAATGTATATGTCTACATTTTTTAGGCATGTTTAGCATTTTTCAAATACATGATCAACTTGTTTTAAAATATATGTTTTGATTTCTATTTTTTTCACGTAAATTGTACATTTTTGGTATATAGTAGAAAGGTTTATATATATATTCTCACCAAATACTTGATTAACTGTTTTTCAATAAATGTTTGTTTCTACATTTTATATAAGTATTGTACATTTTTCTATACATCACGAACATTTAGTAGGAATGTTTAACATTTTTTCAACTACATAAATAACATTTTTCAAATATATTTTTGTTGATGTCTACATTTTTCATAAACTTTTTGTACATTTTTTGTTGCTCAAAAAGAAATTCATATACACATTTACCATAAACAGGAAAAATGATGAACTAACCTTGCACTAACCTGGAACCTACCTGGGCCTGGCCATTTATAGCAAATCCGACACGAGCACATGCTCCATCCTAAGGGAGCCACTAGTTAACGAGCGCTCCTTCAGGAGCCTCGCAACAATTAACGTCACTTGGCGCGCTCTCAGACATTCTTAGTGTCACTGGGCGTTCCCTTTGGATTTATTTTTTTATTTTTCCACACACATTTACGGCTATTTAAACAGTTTTTTTTGACGTCTTGGTTTTTCACCGGTCTTCCTTAGCTTTTTGATAAATTTTGTTTTGAAAAAAATATTTTTGCGCGAAAAAACACATTTTCTTTTTTTCTTTCTTTCACGAGAGTCACGGTTTGCTTCCGGGAGAGGCACGGTTGTGCTTTCGCGAGAGCCACGGCCGTGCCTCTCGGAAACCGAAAAAAACATGTTTTCTGTTTTTTGCCTTTCGCGAGTCATGGTTTTGCTTCCGCGAGAGGCACGGTTGTGCTTTCGCGAGAGTCACGGTCGTGCATCTCGGAAATAAAAAAACGTGTTTTCTTTTTTTCCTTTCGCGAGAGTCACGGCCGTGCCTCTCGAAAACGAAAAAAACGTGTTTTCTGTTTTTTCCTTTCGCGAGAGTCGCGGTTTTTCTTCCGCGAGAGACACAGTTGTGCTTTCGCGAGAGTCACGGCCATGCCTCTATGAAACGAAAAAAAACACATTTTGTGTTTTTTTTTTCTTTCGCGAGAGTCACAGTTTTGCTTCCGCGAGAGGCATGGGTGTGCTTTCGCGAGAGTCATGGCCGTGCCTCCTCGGAAACGAAAAAAATGCGTTTTCTTTTTTTT